AATAACATACTGTATTTTTCGGACTATAAGTCGCTCTGGAGTATAAGCTGCACCACTTAAAAACTGTGTAATGAAGAAGAAAAAAAACACAAGTCGCACTTTTTAATGGAAATTTATTTATATAAAATCAGAGACCAGGAACCGACATTTCATGTTGAAAGTCAAGTTCTAGTAACAACAATAGAAGAGAGAACAACAGACTGTTAGTGTCACATATAAACAGTTCTTCAGATAAACTTGTTGTGCACTTGTTGTCATAACTTCACACCAAACTTTCTTTCTGCTGCTCGATTACCGCTGTCAGTTGCATATTTCACTACTTGCAGCTTGTAATCTGTAAAATATGATTTTCTTTTTGGGGGTATTTGTGGTCAGTCTTTTCAGTTGTCTTTATAAAATTATTTTAATTTTAAATTTTCAGTGGTACAGAAGTAACGGTGCGATCGTCTGACATGATACAGACAGGACAGGTACTCTTTCTGCAGGAGACATGCTCAGTAGAACCAAGTGACAGTGGTACAGCACCCTCACGCGACTGTCAGTATGAACATTTTAATATATAAGTCGCACCAGAGTATAAGTCACGAGAAACACCCAAACCATGAAAAATGTGCGACTTATAGTCTGAAACCATGGTGGCACAATGCACACATTCGCAAACACTGTGAAAAAGTTTAAAGATCATGTGAAAACTCAAAACACACAGAATAGATTTTAAAAAACACTTTTTCAGGAGCCTGTGAGCAGTCTGAGTGTTCATGGTTCTGTTTGTGTTGAGCGTGACTAACTGAAAAAAAGCACAGATTAAAGTCTAACTTGAGTAACAAAGCTTCAGACAGAGCAGTTCCTACAGTTAGTTAGGGAATGTTAATGCCATCAGCTGCAAAGTATCAATTTATACGTAAATGTTCAACTGTCAGACCCCTTTTCTACAAGATAACCGCAAGATACTACAACATTTTCACAATTTAAGTCTCTCCATTTAAATGCAACTCTCTATTCTACATAACTCTCTAACATAACAGTATTTAAGCATATAGAGGGTCACACCAATGTCGAGAGGCTTTTGTTCCACGCTTTAAATCATAGCACTTTGAGACAATTGTATTTAAAAAAAAACAAAAAACTTTGTACTTCTTCGAGAGGTTCTGCGTACACGTCCTTGGCACAAATGAATGAGGAGGAGGCGAGGGGCCATCATGGAGCCCGTATCAAGGAGAGGACACTTAAGAAAGTTCTTTGCCTCTCCTGGAAATGTCATCGTGTTTGGAAAGCAATCTACGCCTGATTTACAGATAACACGATGCCATTTTCGAACTCCTGTTTCTGACTTTTTCTGTTTTCTGTGTTTTGGTGACTTTATCTCCGTCTGTCTGCTCCTCTCCTGCTCAGTATTCTGCGTTTATTCGGGCTGCTACCTCAACGGATTTTTTTCCACACATGTCCCGGTAATGCAAACGCGAAATGTCATCTTTTGTAGCTTATTTTTACGTAGTTGTTCCATGAAAAATGAAAAAAAAAAAAAGAAATATGAGGCTAGAGAATGTACATAAGCGTAAAGGTGCACTGTGTAACTTTTCTGGTGGAGAGTCTGACATCTGCTTGTCTCCATGGAGATGTTAATTTGTCTGGAATGTCCTGGTATGGCATTAAACGTAACCATCTTGCATTTATGTTATAACGTGTTTTTATTTACTTAAAAGCTTGGATTCTTATTGTGAGAGGGCTCACCTCTCCACAGATGTGACATGTAACTTGGCCTGATGGCATCACCAACTGTATGTGTGGGGATAATTAAGTGTAATGCCATACTGTGGAACATTTCAAGCAACAGAAAAGCTGGTGACAGACCTCCATCAAATGTTACACGGTGTTCAGTGTATTCTGAATAAATAAGTACATTATTATTTAAATTATGAAGTAACATTTTGAGGGATATGCTGTTGATAAATCCTTACAATATTTTTTTGGGGGGGCATGGCATTCCTCCAAAACATGCCCTTCATTTGTCACAAGCGATGAGCCCTTTATCTCTGCTTGCGGCTTTATTTAGTTAGAAAGTAAGTAAGCAAGTCTTTATTTGTATAGCGCTTTTCACAGACATTTTCTGTCCCCAAAGACGCTTTACAGAGCATTATTCAACATTATTCATTCAGCATTATTCATTCACTCTATACCTGGTGATGGTAAGCTACTATTGTAGCCACAGCTGCCCTGGGGCACTCTGACAGAAGCGCGGCTGCCATGCCAATCGGTGCCATCGATCCCTCCGACCACCACCATCACTCACACACACACCACTTTCATACTAGGCAATGTGGGTGAAGTGTCTTGCCTAAGGACACAATGATTGAATTGATTGTATTTTAATTGACCTTGACTATCATCTGTTCATGGAGACCTGTAACATGTTTTGGGTTGATGGGGGAAACAGGAGCGCCCAGAGGAAACACATCCAGACATAGGGAGAAACACGCAAACTCCCAGAACCTGCATGAGTGCTAGCAACTCAGCCACCTTGCCGCCTTTATAATGAAAGTGTTTTTTGTTCTTTAAATCAGTGGGTAATGGCCAGTATTAGAAGTGGATCTGGTGTTTTTCGCCCGCATAATGGGTGCGATGTTGGTCTTAAATTTCATTTAAGTGGTCTTAAAAAGGTCTTTAAAAAGTCTTAAATTTGGAGTAGTGAAACCTGGGGATACCCTGGAAAATACGCAAGACATTTCCACAGATATTTTGCCACAGAAAAGCATTAACTGGAAGTGATGTTTACCCTACATCGCTGCACATTGTGAAAAAGGTCTAGGTGCGTCACAGAGCTTTCTGATTGGCCGCAGATTTGACATTGGATTATAAACTGGCCTTGATGCATCCTACCACACCATCCACCCTCCAAAACCTCACATACATAACCATCTCATCTCAGCATATCTTCATTTATAGAACCAACCTTTTGACATTTGGTCGTCTTAAAGGTTTTCCGAATAATAGCCCCCACTTGGGACATGGCACCTGACACAAAATTCAAATCAGTCACCTGCTTTTTCTTAAATAACATTCACTTTCCTCCTTCCCAGTCCCATGGTAAATAAACACCCCGTAGACTCTCACGGCAGCCATTTTGTGTCATCCGAGATATGCCGGTTTCTCAATGGGACGAGCGCATTTCCATAAAGCGACGCACCTGCTTAGAGACGCTTGACATTTGGGGGAAGTGAGAGAAGACGAAAGGTCAAAGTTCGGGCAGGAAATAGCGCAGGCTAACAAAGCGTTTGAGCAGAGGTGTCTGTGCAGACGGTGTAGTGTCTGGATCGTGACAGGTCTGGTGACGAGCTATTTATAAGTCGTGGATTTGAATACGGTTTGGGTGGAAAATGGAAGATTGTATTTCAGTTCAGTTTGATGGGGGAAAAAAACACACCTGACATGAATTTTGAAGTAACTGTATGCACATTTGGGTTCTAGTACCACAACTACATACTGAGACTACTACATGGTATTTGCAGTATTAGTGCAAGTAGCAGTAGTTGTAGTAGTAGCACTTAAAATCATGTAAACAACACAAAATTAACAAATGGAAAAACTGAAAAAATAAATAAACGTAAAAAATAATTGCGCATACATTTGGGTTCTAGTACTACTACAACAAATACTAAGACTATTACTAAGTGTTTGTAGTATTAGTAGAAGTAGTAGTCATGTTAGTATTAGTAGTTAGTTGTCTTAGTATTAGTATACATAGTAGTTGAAGTAGTAGTACTTAAAATAATGTAAGGAACACAAATGAAAAAACAAAAAATGAATAAATATATGTGAAAAATGATTGTACGTATACTTGGGTTCCATACTACTACAAATACTAAAACTGCTACGTAGTATTTGTAGTCTTAGTGGAAGTTGTAGCCATGTTAGTATTAGTACTTGTCATAGTATTAGTATGAGTAGTAGTTGTAGTACTAGCACTTAAAATCATGTAAACACCACAAATGGACAACATAATAAATAAATAGTTGTGAAAAGTAATTGTACATACATTTCAGTTCAAGTACCACTACTATACTTAAAACTATTTAAACTACTACTTAGTATTTGTAGTATTAGTGGAAGCAGTATGTTAGTATTAGTAGTTAGTTGTTTAGTATTAGTATATGTAGAAGTTGTAGTAGTAGCACTCAAAAGGAATGAAAAACATACATTTGGGTTCTAGTACTACTACTGCAAATACTAAGACTACAACTTAGGGTTTGTAGCATTAGTTGAAGGTGTAGTCATGTTAGTATTAGTAGTTAGTTGACTTAGTAGTAGTTTCACAATGTGAAAAATAATTGTACATACATTTGGGTTCCATTGCTACAGCAAATACTGAAACTGCTACATAGTGTTTGTAGTATTAGTGGAAATTGTAGTCATGTTACTGACTATTAGTATTAGTACTTTGGTGTCTTAGTATTAGTATGCCTAGTTGTTGAAGTGAAATAGTAGCGGTCACAATCATGTAAGAAACACAAAATTAACAAAAGAAAAACAGGGAAAAAAAAGATATGGGAAAAAAAAGATATTATATATATACATATCTGAAATCCATATCTCTATCTATATCTATATCTATCCATCCATCCATCTATATATAAATAATCTTTACATTGAAAAAATTGTCACCTTTCTCTCTGTAACTGCTGCTGTGAGCCTCGTCATTTTGGTCTTCAAATGTTTGTATTAACCCCCTCTGTGTGATCCTGGTGTTTTTATTTTTTTGTTAAATATTCCATAAATAATAAATTCTACAAGCGTTGATGAGCTTCATTTCACTGAAACACTATGGGTGACACTCATATGAAACAAATTATAATAAACTGTTCAGATTTATGTCAACGAACCAACGTTTTGATTTCTTGGACATTTTGGTTTGAAAATATTTTATTGTGTTGCTGTCATGTGAAGCTATTCTGTTACCAAAACCACACTTGTAATCATGTGTTGTATTGTTGTGTGTTTTCCAGGCGGAGGAGGAGGAGCAGAGGAGGCAGGAAAGAAGGATCGAGAGGATAGAACCTGTGGGCCGAGCAGACTCCACACAAGAACATTCTCCAGCTTTAACCTTAGAGTGAGTACACAACCAGCAAACAGAAAAAGTCCAAACAGAAATTAAAAACGCAAAAATCTGAAACCACCCTCCAGAGTGTAAAAGTTGAATACACTCCACCGTAGCGTTTCCGTTTACACTGCCCAAGACGCAAAACTCTGGTCAGATCTGCTCAGGTTGCTTACATGTTTACGCCACATACATGCAGTACACAGAAACAAACATGTCGGATCATTTCCATGCATCGGACCTTCAAGCAGCTCAAATAAACTTACAAGCGGCATCCCAACAAATGTAGAGAATCTGCAGAGACACTATTAGTGAACAGAGAAGGATCTGCAATCACCTCTGTCAAATTCTGGATGCACCTGTTCGTCGCAGGCGAGTCAGACGGATATGGACGAGACCTCGATGGTGGGACAACTTTGTGGAAGGAGTAGCTGATGAAAATGCATGACGTGGAATCTTCCGTATGTCCAAAGATGCCCTTGTTGCTTCAAGTACAAACATATTCTAATCCAATCCAATTCCACACACTTTTGCGTCACCGTGTGCACGCAGATTTACTCCTGAAAACTCTCATCTAAATGCAGAATAAAAAGTGAAGACTCGACGCCACTTACTTATATAAACGTAGCCTTAGTTCTTCTCTCATACAAAAACACTCTCTTCCACCTTGTGATGTCATGTAGTACAGGAAGGGCTCCACTGTGTTTTTAAACTCCATACACCTTCACGAGAATCATTTGGATAATTTCAGCCCTGAAGTTGCTAATTTCTACTGAACAAAAGATAAAAGGTCGCTGTTAACTTGAAAATTACTAGTTCATGACATCACAAGGTGGAACAGAGCATTTTGAGCTTTGGAGATGTAAACAGACTAATGATAAAGGATTACTCAGACGTGTGAATGAAACAAAACACAACTCCAAGTATGTTTTTGATAAGGTAACAACATTATAACATGGCTTAAAGCGTCAATTTTGTGTAATATGGGACCTTTTAGAAGAAATTCTTATTTTCAATCCTCACTTGCATGGATATACTGTTGGCCTGGGTATTATTTTTATTTTTATTTTGTAAACAATAGCGAATACAGAAATTTGTCCTTAGAATATCACCATGCATTTTTTTTAAATATATATTTGATTTTTCTGTTACAAAATTAATCTGCATTGACCTCAGTGATAAAACAACAATAAAAACACAATTTCTTTCTTTATCTTAATTAATACCTCTAATACGAACAACATTATTACATTATCCCAGCAAAGCTCACGCCACTTGCTAACACATGTATCATTCTGATGCGCTATCTAAACAAATTAACACCTCCCCCTCCCCTTTACCCCTCCCACCCCCTTTTTCAATTAACGTCTTCTTTTACCCCGACGCCCCGATTCTAATCACATAATTGGTGTCTCCATTTCGCCCCCTGCAGTTGACCCCTGGGCACTGCGTCAGACTCAAATAAATGACTCTTTAGCCGACACAATACAGCTCCATCAAGCGGCTGTCATGTCTCTGTCAACTTTCGTATCGTGTAGTTTTGCATTTGCTTGTTGCCGTGGCGATTTGGTATGCGTGTATCTAAAGCCGTTCTTTTCTTGTCTCTTCTCTTTTTTTTTTCTTTTTTTTTCGTGGTGTCTCATCCATCACCGTGGCGACAGGAGCATGCTGAGGCCAGTGGAGGTGTGCAACGAAGGAGGGCCCCTGGGGATCCACGTGGTGCCGTTCAACCATGACATCAGGTAAAAGACGAATATGTGAATGAACGAACGAATGGATGGATGGAGTGTAAAAGGGCTGAGGGACTACCATGGTTACTACTGGTGTGGTTGATGCACATTAGACCATTAAAATCTTATGTATTTATTTATTTTTCATTTTTTATAAAATTAAATTCACAAATAAAAAACAAACAAACAAATAAGGCATTAGTATATATATAATAGTAGTGAAGTACAAGAAAATGTTGCTGTAGTTGTTTGGTGAAGTATGTTTGAAGTTTGTTATAGTAGTTGCAGTTGTAGCTGTTTGCTTTAATTGCAGTAGTACTATTACTAGTAGTAATTGCAGTAGTTGCTGTTGTTGTTGTAGTAGTAATAAAAGATGCAGTAGTGATAGTATTAGGAGTAGTAGTAATTATAGTACCGTATTTTTTGGACTATAAGTTGCTCCGGAGTGTAAGTCGCACCAACCAAAACATGCGTAATGAAGAAGAACAAAACATAAGTCAAGTAAGTGGTACTTTTTTGGGGGAAATGTATTTGATAAAATCAGAAACCAGGAACCGACATTTTATCTTGAAAGTCAAGTTGTAGTAATAACAATAGAAGAGAGAACAACAGACTGTTAACGTCACATATGAACAGTTCTTCAGATAAACTATAGCATAAAAAACAGAACAGAACAAGTTTACCAAACTCTCCATCTCACTCCAAATCACTAAGTCAATTCAATTCTTCATCCTCGGTGTCACTTCTGAACAACTCCATGACCTCCGGAGGTAAACAGAGCACAGCTTCCTCTTCTGTGTCGCTGTCGTCAGACTCAGCATGAGTTTCAGTTAGAATTATTGGTTTTGGTGCCACTGAAGTTCAGGCTTTGTCGATCTATCCAGTGACTTCCAGGAAAGTTGCATAGTTCACCCTCCCGGCTACTGTGAAGCTGTGTTCTCCATCACCACTTCCCGCCAGTCCCTCACAAGTTTTTCGCTCACTCCAAACTTTCTTTCTGCTGCTCGATTATTTTCGGCTGAATATTTCACTACTTGCAGCAGTACAGCGACTTTCTGCACGAGACATGCGCAGTGAAGTGACAGTGGTACAGGAGTAATAGGAGCAGCAGATACTGACACACAAGACTAGAGCCTCTCATGACTGTCAGTGTGAAAATTTTAATATAAAAGTCGTACCAGAGTTTAAGTCACAGGAAAAAAAGTGCCACTTATAGTCCAAAAATACGGTAGTTATTGCTGTATTAGTTGTTTTCATAATGTGGTAGTACCAATTGCAATAATAGTGTGGTAGTAGTAATTGCAGTTGTGATTGTAGTAGTAACTGGAGTTCCGGTAGTGGTACTACTTCTGTACTAGTAGCGTTAACAGTAATAGTAGTAGAAGAAGCAATATCATTGGTAGCCAACAATAGCACTAAGCAGAAACTGTAGTAGCAGTAGTAGTAGTTGTATTAGTAGTAGTAGCATTAATAGTAGTAGTAACTTTCCTTCTGCAATAGTTTCATACTTTTCATGCGTCCACATTTCAAAGTGTGCTCAGCTCTTTCTTCGTCTCTTCTCAAACACGCTGTTGTTTTCTGGGCTTCCACTTGTTTCATGTTTGGCCTGAGGCGGTGCTTTTGGTTCTTTCTCTCGTTTGGTTCTGTTTCTTTTCTCTGTCTCACGTGGTCATCTCCTCTGATTCTTCCACCACAGCAGGACTCAACTGTGCTGAGATCCTGCAATGAGAAGCACCCAGTGGGGAGGAGGTGTAGTTATGAAAGCTAGTCTTCTCATGTTTTAGACTTACTTTAGAAGAAAAATAGCACTCTGGGTAGTGGATATGTGGTGAAGTCGAGTCAGAATGGCTGTTAATCTTTGGGTTTTTAATCGATAAAATGTTTAATTAGTTGAAGAGTGTGCTGAAAGGTTTGATTTTTTTAACACATTATGGTAATATCATTGGTAGAAAGTAAAATTCAAAGTGTTGCTTTCATAAAGTCATATTAGTTTTCAAATTAGGATCCAAATGAGACTGCTGTGTGCCGTTTCAATCTAATTATAAAGTGTTTTATCATCCGTGAACTAAAAAGTAAGGTTGGTGCACTGTTAGCATACTAGTTATTGTTACCATTAATGTATTAGCGATTTATCTATGATCTGGTGTGGAACATCTCTGTTGTCTCTGTGCATTGCCTCTTTAAATAACGACTAAACTTCACTAAAGACAAAACTCTGTTGAGGTGAATCATTAGGGTGCTCGGAATGTGTTAGGAAAGTGAGGAATCATTTTGATAGTTTTGAATAGTTTTGATTCATTCACTCCACTCTACCCGGTGGTGGTAAGCTACTATTGTAGCCACAGCTGTCCCGGGGGAGACTGACGGAAGCAAGGCTGCCAATCTGCGCAGTTGCCCCCTCTGACCACCACCAGTGATGGTGTTATAGTAGCAAGTTCTAGTAATAACAATAGAAGAGAGAACAACAGACTGTTAACGTCACATATGAACAGTTCTTCAGATAAACTATAACATAAACAACAGAACAGAACAAGTTTACCAAACTCTCCATCTCACTCCAAATCACTAAATCCATTCAATTCTTCATCCTCGGTGTCACTTCTGAGCAACTCCACGACCTCCAGAGGTAAACAGAGCCGCCACTTCCTCTTCTGTGTCGCTGTCGTCAGACTCAGCATCAGTTTCAGTTAGAATTATTCCGGCCTTTCTGAAGCCCGACAGGATGGTTTCAGTCGTCTTTATGTTTGTTTAAATTAAACATTTTCAGTTGTTCAGAAGTAATGGTGCGATCGACTGACATGATACAGACAGGACAGAGGCTCATTCTGCAGGACACAAGCGCAGTAGAGTGAAGTGACAGTGGTGCAGGAGGAACAGGAGCAGCAGATACTGACACACAAGACAAGAACCTCTCACAGCTTCAGTGTGAAGATTTTACTATATAAGTCGCACCGGAGTATGTTGCAGGACCACTCAAACTATGAAAAAAAGTGCAAGTTATAGTCTGAAAAATATAGTGCTTCTGCTTGTTCATATTTTTAAGATTGTAAAAACCAGATACACCTACAATATCTTTAAGTAGTTGTAATTCTAAATAAATACAGGAAGTGCATACATAAATACTTTAACCTTTCTTTTCAGTACACAACAAGTCATAACATTCGCTATAATTCCAAAAGTGCTCGGCTCTGTCCTGATATAGAACAAAAATAAATTCTGGCCGTGTCTCTCGAGCTAAGTGTGGTGGACAGAGGACAGGGGACAGGGGACAGGGAGGAGGATCGCGTCTTAGTTTATGGCTATTTAAGGAAAAAGGGACATTGGACGTGCACCCGGCGTAATCAAACTAAAAGCCTGCTTCCAACGGCACCCACTGGCACGCCACCAAGGTGAACGCAGCCACTCAGAGCCGGGATCGGGAGGCGGGGCGGGGCCTTTCGTGTGTGTGTGTGTGTGTGTGTGTGTGTGTGCGCGTGGGGGTGGAGGTGGAGGAGGGAGGGGAGGCAGCGGCGGTGGAGGAGATGGGATGGGTTGACATTTAGAGCCAGACTGTCATTGAAGATTGGCGCGGTCGCGTTTTCCGGAGCTCCTTAATCCCATAACTGTTCATAAGCAAGTGTCAGGAAACTACATTTAGCCGCAACCTTTTGACGAGCGATTGGACGCGGAATCATGAGTCAGGATGTGCCGAGGGATGGAGGAAGGAGGGAAAAAAGAAAAAAAACTTTGATATCATAACAACAAGATAAGGTGTAGTGTAATTTCTAAGGAGTGGACACAAATGGAGAAAAATAAAAGGTAAAATAGAATGTCAAAATTGTAAGAACTTTTCAAAATGTCTGTAGAGATTGTCTGGGATCCGGAATATATTCTTCTTCAACACTTTACAAAGATGTTAGTTTGGTTATTGTTGAACATCCCTGTGTTCATATGGGAGTGATTGACAGGTGCATTAGCCAATCAGGGACATGCATGGTTTGTGCAAAGGAAAAACTGAACTGAAAAACTTGTATATTTCTACAGAATCAATGAGCAAAGCATTGTGGGAATAATGTGAGTGATATCCCTCTGTATAAAAAAATCTAGAGAGATATTTTGGATTTGCCGGGTCACCTTAAACAGTGGAGTACGGAGCCTGCCTCATGACGTGTGAAAAAAATGTTTTAGCTTTTAATTTCGGCAATTTCTTAATTCTTGGGTACAAATTGGTTAAATTGTGGGAACGATTTAACTAAAACATGGGAATGATTTAGGCAAAACTTATTACCGTATTACGTAAAGCGTGGGATTACATATTGTGGAAATGAAATTGAAATTTGAGGCCATGATTTAATATCTTTTTCCGCTCACGCCATCAGGCGGGCTCCAGAGTTGAGAGATGCATTAGCCTAATCCATCTAAAATCTAAAAAAAATCTCTTGGCTACAATGTTACAATTTCAGAAATAAAATTCCACACATGTTGTATCTGTTCAGTTCATTGCTTTACCTGGGATGCTCCACAGTATGGCATTAAGCTTATATAGACTTAGACTTCGACCAAATGTATTGATCCACAAGGGAAATTATTTGGACACACATCACAATATAATATAATAACACAGAAAATAAATATAAATGGTAATAAATTCTAAACAAGTAGCAAAAAAGATAGCAAGAGACAGGTGTCAAATAAGACATACTGTATTTTTTTAACTATAACACGCACTGGATTATAAAGTGCAATATCAATAATGTTGAATTCTCTCGTCTATTTTCATACATAAGGTGATTATAAGACGCATTAAGCGAAACAAACGGACAACACTTGAGGCTGATCCTTAGCCCACGCATCCACGATCCATTGGCAGATTGTGGTGTAATTCGCCCGGCGTTGCCTCCCTGTCTTGCTGAATGTGTATTATGAACGTGAATGTGGGTGGAAGTTTGTTTTTTATTTCCTACGAGGACGACTCAAATATACATTTAGTAATAATGTGTTTAATGCAGCTTTGAGCACATTTGTTTACATCT